ACTACAAGACGCAGGATACGGTGAGCAGCACGATCGGACGATGGATGTACTTCATCGACCAGTTTGACTTCACACCGAAACATCTACCCGGCCTCTCAAATCGCGCAATAGATGCACTCTCGCGAAGACCAGATCTTTGCGCTATGACACATCATGCCTTCACATTCGACGAGGAGTTTCAGCGACACTTCATCCGGGCATATGAGTTTGATCCGGACTTCGGCACGCTTTATGCACAGCTATCTTCGGATCACCCGCCGGCCAGCCACTACCGCATCGCCGACGGGCACTTACTCCTCCACTCGAGAGGCAAGGACTTACTATGTGTCCCACGCGACCGTCGTCTTTGGACTCGCCTCCTCGGCGAGTATCATGATTCACGACTCGTCGGCCATTTCGGAGTCAACCGCACTATTGCACGGCTTCGACAGCAATTCCCATGGCCCGACCTCATTAGCGATGTCACTCGGTATTGCGACTCTTGCGAAGTTTGCCGACGCAGCAAGCCCCGCAACCGCAATCCATACGGCGAGTTACACCCGATGCCCATCCCACGAGAACCCGGTCTCTCCATTGCCATGGACGTCACCGGCCCGTTTCCTCGCGACCGGCTCGCGCACGACGACATCCTCACGGTTGTGGACCGATTGAGTAAGTACGCGTGTTTTCTCACTTGCAAGTACTACTCCACGACTCCCGAGTTGGCACGCCTCTTGCACACTGGTTGAATTTGTGGCCACGGTATACCAGAAGACATTGTCAGCGACCGCAACACTCGTTTCATGTCGGCGTTTTGGACTGCTCTCATGCAGGAGTCCGGCACAACAATTAAACCAAATTCGGCTCGACATCCTCAGACAGACGGGCAGACGGAGCGGGCACATCAAACCGCTCAAATGATGCTTCGTACGCTCATCCGTCCGAACCAGAAAGATTGGGTTGACCGCCTCYCCGACATCGAGTTCGCCTACAACACTTCGGTGCATCCGGCGATCGGCGTGACTCCATTCGAGTTGCACCACGGTGGACGGAAAGACCGGATCTTCGCCGACCTTCTCCTCCCTCGACCAGCCGACATTGACGCTGCCTGCTCTCCCGCTTCCGTCCGGAAGTACAGGGAATTGCTGACTCAAGCCCGCGCAAATATGCAAAAGGCTCAAATCCGCATGCAGCAGCAAGCGAACAGGCGTCGCGTACCATGTCCCATCCGGACCGGTGATCTAGTTTGGGTCTCCGCGAAAGAGTTTGCACTGGAACATGATGTTTCACGCAAACTGCTTCCCAAGTGGTTTGGACCTTGGTCTGTGACAGCAGCCGCGGGCGATGAGCCCGATGGCCCTTCATTTGTGATCAATATTCCAGAGCATCTTATGGTCCATCCGGTCTTCCACGCCTCGAAGCTGGCAACATACACGCCAGCCAAGAGCGACGACTTTCTGGACCGATGATCGCAGGACCCTCCTTCTATGGATGGCCATCAGGAAGTTGACTGCGTCATCTCCAATCGCAAGTATGGCAGCAAGCCGCGGCAGTACAAAGTCACATTCAAAGCATGCGATCGCGACAACACTCGGTGGATTTCAGGCGCGGATTTGAAAGCATCCGCACCGCTGATCTACGCGCATTATGAAAAACGCAGGTTAGCTCAGGAAGCTTCACGACCAGCCCCTCCCACCCGGACTGTGGTCCCTCCCTCAGACAGACAGCTTCGCCCTCGCAGGTAAGCTCGGTTCTTCAAGGAGGGGGGGGTGTGGCATACTGCGTTCGTTTCAGCCTGGATGCTGAAAAACGAGGGCCTGCAGGCCCTACCCCGTTTCAGCCTATTTCTGGCTCTTTTCAGACCCAGAGTTTTCAGCCTGAAACGGAGGGCCATTTTCAGGCCCTCATTGTTTCGACCTGCCCCTAAGACTCAGGCACGTAAACAGGGATGCGGAACAGGCCAGAAATAGCCTGTTCCTCACGAGTTGAGCAGGATCTGCAGCTGAAGCCCCTGTCTCCCTTCGGCAGGCTCAGGAGGCACACCCGTAGTACATAGGAAGTCCCATGCACTTCACGGGTAGGTAGAATTCAGTAGGCACGGGTAGTCTTCAGGATTTCGGCCGCAGCACTCAGGAGGAGCGCTGCAGTAGTCTTCAGCGCTAGTAGTATTAGCGCTAGCTGTAGTCTTCGGCGCTGGGCGCCATAGCTGTAGCTGTAGTCTTCAGCGCTGGGCGCTAGTAGGAGGTAGATCGTAGAGTGAGAGAGAGACTGGCAGAGGCCAGTGATACTTACCTGTGACGCCATCGCTCCAGCTCCATCTTCGTGGTACCTGCATCAAGGCGCCAACTTCACAGGTTAGTACTGGACAC